TTTTGGAATTTTGTTTAGAACATGTCATTCATCTATATGCCGGAATGAAGGCTTCGCTGATCTTTTCCTGATTCAAGCACTGCTTAGATGTGGGGAGAAGAGTTGCAAGACCAGCCTTATGTTCATCCATTGTCCATACCATCTTCCCAACACCTCCATACTATCATCTTCCCAGGGTGACACCTCCATACCATCCTCTTCCCATACACCTCCATACCATCCTCTTCCCATACACCTCCGTACCATCCTCTTCCCATACACCTCCATACCATCCTCTGCCCACACACATCCATATTGTCCTCTGCCCAGACATGTCCATACCATCCTCTTCCCATACACCTTCATACCATCATCTTCCCATACACCTCCATACTATCATCTTCCCATACACCTCCATACCATCCTCGGCCCAGACACATCCATATTGTCCTCTGCCCAGACATGTCCATACCATCATCTTCCCATACACCTCCATACCATCCTCTGCCCATAGACCTCCATACAGTCCTCTTCCCATACACCTCCATACCATCCTCTTCCTATACACCTCCATACCATCCTCTGCCCACACACATCCATATTATCATTTTCCCATACACCTCCATACCATCATCTTCCCATACACCTCCATACCATCCCTCTGCCCACACACATCCATATTGTCCTCTTCCCACATACACCTCCATACCATCCTCTTCCCATACACCTCCATACCATCCTCTTCCCATACACCTCCATACCATCCTCTGCCAATACACCTCCATATACCATCCTCTTCCCACACACATCCATATTGTCCTCTGCCCATACATGTCCATACCGTCCTCTTCCCATACACCTCCATACCATCCTCTGCCCAGACATGTCCATACTATCCTCTTCTCATTCACCTCCATACTTCTGCCCATACAAGTACACACCATCCTCTGCCCATATACCTCCATACTGTCCTGTGCCCATGCACCTCTATGCTGTATGTCCATACCTGACACCATCTTCTGCCTATACACCTCCATATCGTCCATATACCTTTGTACCATCCCGTTCTCATACAAATTGTGCCTGTGCATATATATCATGTTCTGCACCTATGCTCTGCCATACTTTCCCATACTTAAGCACTTATAAAGACCTATGCCTAGATACATATGCCTAGATGTATGGGAAGGTGCGACCAAGTGTGTGCGCATTTCTGGGCTTTTTCAGCGCATTCCTGTGCGTTGCATGTAGGGCAGCCTATTCATTTCATTGGGCTGCCTCATTTTATTTATTTATTACAGGTACTTATATAATGCCATCAATTTACGCAGTGCTTTACATATACAGGCTTACCATGGTTTACGAATTTAATGCGTTCTCCGGGACGCTTCGTATTGCAAAAAATTTGTAACCGGCACGCGGTTTCCCATAGGAGTGCATTGAAAACCAATTAATCCATTCTGGAGGTCAGAAAAAAAGTCAAAAAAGTCTTATCTGTTCTAAACTCTTTATAAAGTACACTTTAATGGTATCAATACTGTACAGAGACATGATTAACAATGAATTCATAAATGCATTGAAAACCAATTAATCCGTTCCGGAGGTCAGAAAAAAGTTAAAAAAAAAAGTCTTTTATCTGTTCAAAACTCTTTATAAAGTGCACTTTAAAGGCATAAATACTGTACAGGGACATGATTAACAATGAATTTGTAAATACATTGAAAACCAATTAATCCATTCCGGAGGTCAGAAAAAACTAAAAAAAAGTCTTATCTGTTCTAAACTCTTTATAAAGTGCACTTTAAAGGCACGGGGCCGGCGCTATAAACCTCCCAGGCACAATGCATCCTGGGTAAACTTGCTTCGTAATGCGAAAAAAATTCGTAAACTGAGGCATTATTTTCAATGGAATTTCATTCGTAAACCAAAAATTACGTTCACCGACATCAGTCCCTAACCCTCAAGGGGCGTACAATTTAAGGTCCCTAACTCACATTCATACATACACATTCTAGGGACAATTTAGACAGGGGCCAATTCACCTACCAGCATGCCTTTGGAGTGTGGGAGGAAACCGGAGCACCTGGAGGAAACCCACGTAGGCACAGGGAGAACATGCAAACTAATGCGCAAAAAACACAGAAAAAAAGTCCCTCTTTTCCAGAAATGCTGCAGCAGCTGAGGTTTGGCATTCATGAAATTCGCACGTCTGCAGATACATGGAGGTGTCATTAAGTAGTAATGATACCAGTGCACATCTGGTGAAGGGCAGCGCGTTTTTCTTTGTGTCGGGAAAGCGCGTTTTTGCACTCTCCCAACACGCCGCTGTACGGAATAACATGGGATGTCCAGATGAAAGTGCAACCAAACCAGCGCAATGGACTTCTAATGAAATGACCCCCCCCCAGTCACACTATAAACCCTATCTGAGATCTCTATTGTTCTCACTGAAAACAGGAATTGTTGGCGTTGTGAGATAACACTCTGGCGCGGCCCGGTTGTAAAAACAGAATTCACTCTACTGAGCAATGCCCCCAAACCAGCAATGTGCAGAACGCCCTCCGCAGAGCATAACAAGAGCCACCGAGAACATCTCTACAAATGTCATTTCAGCTTTACAGCCGCGCTTTATTGTGTTATTCTGTTTTACGGCTACAAAAATGTCTGTTTCATGGTTTTATTGCCGGCATAAAATCTCTCCGTAAAGCATTTTTTGTTTATTATCACCCGCCATATACGTCTACAATAGTCACTCCCACCGTGCGTCTACAACCATGTGCTGACCTCCAGCCTGCACCGTCTCCTCTCCTGGACTGAAATGGCTTACTCCGATTTCACTGCACACTGTGAGCTTCTCACAATGTGCATTACAAGCTGCAGCAAGTCTAATAGACCCCGCCTCATTTTCTGGCTGGAGGACGCCCGACATCATCTAGCGCTTTACTCCCCAGCTTGACTGTCCCTGCCCCTGCCCCTTTCATTCATTGGATTTCGGTTCTTTCAATTATTGAGGCTCAGCATCACATGTGGGCATTACCTACAACGGTCTGCATGCAAATACAGCTTGCCTAGTAAGAGCACCACACAAAGAAAGAAAACATTACATTTGAAAAAAAACCTCTCTATCGCTTTCTGTTATATAACATATTAATTAAAAACCCTAGGACCTTTTTTTCCTAAAGTAGATCTTTTTTGCCACAATGTTTTGGAAGTGAAGAATCATGCCGGCACTGAAAAGGTTAAAACATGGAGCATATATACAGGTCATAAATAGACTGAGGATGGAGATGAAGGGGTTAATGTACAGGTCATACACTGAGGGAGTGGGTGGTGAGAGGGTTAATGTATAGGTCATACACAAAGGGAAGAGGAGGTGAGGGGTTATTGTACAGGTCATACCTACCGGGAGTATGAAGATGAAAGGGTTAATGTACATGTGATATACAGAGGGAGGATAGACATGGAAGGGTTAATGTATAGGTCATACACAGAGGGAAGAGGAGGTGAGGGGTTATTGTACAGGTCATACCTACCGGGAGTATGGAGATGAAAGGGTTAATGTACATGTGATATACAGAGGGAGGATAGAAATGAAAGGGTTAATGTATAGGGTCATACACAGAGGGAAGAGGAGGTGAGGGGTTATTGTACAGGTCATACCTACCGGGAGTATGGAGATGAAAGGGTTAATGTGCAGGTCATACATAGGAGGGTGGAAATGAAAGGGTTAATGTACAAGTCAGACACAGAGGTAGGAAGTGAAGGGGTTAATATACAGGTCATACTGAGAGGGAGAATGAAGATGAAAGGGTTAATGTATAGGTCATGCATAGAGGGAGGAGGGGTGCAGGGGTTAATGTACAGGTAAGAAATCAAGGGAGGAGGGGTTGAAGAGGTTAATTTATAGGCCATACATAGGAGGAGGGGTTAAAGAGGTTAATTTATTGGCCGTACATAGAAGGAGTAGGGGGTGAAGGGGTTAATTTATAGGCCATACATAGGAGGAGGAGGTGAAGGGGTAAATTTATAGGCCATACATAGGAGTAGGGGGTGAAGGGGTTAATTTATAGGCCATACATGGAAGGAGTATGGGGGGTGAAGGAGTTAATTTATAGGCCATACATAGAAGTAGTAGAGGCTGAAGGGGTTAATTTATAGGCCATACGTAGGAGTAGGGGTTGAAGGGGTTAATTTATAGGCCATACGTAGGAGTAGGGGGTGAAGGGGTTAATTTATAGGCCATGCATGGGAGGAGTAGGGGGTGAAGGGGTTAATTTATTGGCCATACATGGAAGGAGTAGGGGGTGAAGGGGTTAATTTATAGGCCATACATAGGAGGAGTAGGGGGTGAAGGATTAATATACAGATCACATACAGGGAAAGGATGGAGATGAGATTTACACTGTAGGTGAACAGAGGAGTGAAAGAGTTAAAAACCGACTCCATAGTCAGTGAAGATTCCTCACCATGACTCCTTTGCTGCTTTTCCATTCATCAATCACAAAAACAAATTCCCTTTCCTTACTCCCTTGTAAGGGGGAAGGGGTGGGATCAACAATGTAAACAAGCCTGTGTTTACATTTGTGATTACAGCACTCACAATGGTCATCACAGCAATCACAAGGTACAGGGCTGCTCGGATCAGCTCTGTACACAGTGTTTATGAACCGTGCTGTCCAATGATGACCTTCCTACTATGCCATTTCATAACAGACACTGGGGAAGTAACCACACTATAAATATGCTGCAGTAGTTAAAGTGTTACTAAACCCAGGAAGCTGAATTCACTATATCCGCTCTCCCCGGACCCCGCATTCACTATATCCGCTCTCCCCTGACCCCGCATTCACTATATCCTCTCTCCCCGGACCCCGCATTCACTATATCCGCTCTCCCTGGACCCCGCATTCACTATATCCGCTCTCCCGAACCCCGCATTCACTATATCTGCTCTCCCCGGACCCCGCATTCACTATATCTGCTCTCCTCTGACCCCGCATTCACTATATCCTCTCTCCCCTGACCCCGCATTCACTATATCCGCTCTCCCCGGACCCCGCATTCACTATATCCGCTCTCCTCTGACCCCGCATTCACTATATCCGCTCTCCCCTGACCCCGCATTCACTATATCCGCTCTCCCCTGACCCCGCATTCACTATATCCGCTCTCCCCTGACCCCGCATTCACTATATCCGCTCTCCCCGGACCCCGCATTCTACTATATCCGCTCTGCCCGGACCCCGCATTCACTATATCCGCTCTCCCCGGACCCCGCAATTACTATGTCCGCTCTCCCCGGACCCCGCATTCACTATGTCCGCTCTCCCCGGACCCCGCATTCACTATGTCCGCTCTCCCCGGACCCCGCATTCACCATGTCCGCTCTCCCCGGACCCTGCATTCACCATGTCCGCTCTAACCGGACCCCGCATTCACTAGATCCGCTCTCCCGGACCCCGCATTCACCATATCCCCTCTCCCAGGACCCCGCATTCACCATATCCGCTCTCCCCGGACCCCGCATTCACCATATCCGCTCTCCCCGGACCCCGCATTCACCATATCCTCTCTCCCCGGACCCCGCATTCACTATATCCTCTCTCCCCGGACCCCGCATTCACTATATCCGGACCCCACATTCACTATATATGGTCTCCCCGGACCCCACATTCACTATATATGGTCTCCCCGGACCCCGCATTCACCATATCCGCTCTCCCCGGACCCCGCATTCACTAGATCCGCTCTCCCCGGACCCCGCATTCACCATATCCCCTCTCCCAGGACCCCGCATTCACCATATCCGCTCTCCCCGGACCCCGCATTCACCATATCCGCTCTCCCCGGACCCCGCATTCACCATATCCTCTCTCCCCGGACCCCGCATTCACTATATCCTCTCTCCCCGGACCCCGCATTCACTATATCCGGACCCCACATTCACTATATATGGTCTCCCCGGACCCCACATTCACTATATATGGTCTCCCCGGACCCTGCATTCACTATAGCCGCTCTCCCCGAACCCTGTGTCATGTTTCACATGACTGTCATATGCCTTTAAATGTTTTCTGTCTTTTGTCTCTGCTCCTCCCTTTCCTTTGGTTTGGTTAGTGTTGCATGGATAGCCCTCCCTCTTTTCCCAGAAATGCATTGCAGCTCTAGCCTCATGGCATGGAGCAAGAAACACTATGTTCTTTTGACCTATGGAATTTCATTGTTGGAAGATTTTCTGAGTTTATGGAATAAACTTCACAAGATCTACAAGATGTAATTCCCATTGAGTCACTGACTGTGGTATCCAACTGAGGTTGAAGTTATCGCTATCTCATCACAACTGTAAGTTACAGAGATCACACTAGCAATGCTTAGATTGGAGAGACAGAACACTCTGCATTCACTATATCTGCTCTCCCCAGACCCTGTATTAACGATATTCGCTCTCCCCGGACCCCCAATTCACTATATCTGGTCTCCCCGGACCCCGCATTTACTATAGCCGGTCTCCCCGGACCCCACATTCACAATTTTCACTCTCCCCGAACCCCGCATTCACTATATCCGCTCTCCCTGGACCCTGCATTCACTATATTTGGTCTCCCCGGACCCCGCATTCACTATATCGGTCTCCCCAGACCCCGCATTCACTATATCCGCTCTCCCCGGACCCCGCATTCACTATATCCGGTCTCCCCAGACCCCGCATTCACTATATCCGCTCTCCCCGGACCCCGCATTCACTATATCCGCTCTCCCCGGACCCCGCATTCACTGTATCCGCTCTCCCCGAACCCCGCATTCACTATATCGGTCTCCCCAGACCCCGCATTCACTATATCCGCTCTCCCCGAACCCCGCATTCACTATTTCCGCTCTCCCCGAACCCCGCATTCACTATATCCGCTCTCCCCGAACCCCGCATTCACTATATCCGCTCTCCCCGGACCCCGCATTCACTATATCCGCTCTCCCTGGACCCTGCATTCACTGTATCCGCTCTCCTCGAATCCCGCATTCACTATATCCGGTCTCCCCAGACCCCGCATTCACTATATCCGGTCTCCCCAGACCCTGCATTCACTATATCCGGTCTCCCCAGACCCCGCATTCACTGTATCCGCTCTCCCCGAACCCCGCATTCACTATATCCGCTCTCCCCGAACCCCGCATTCACTATATCCGCTCTCCCCGGACCCCGCATTCACTATATCCGCTCTCCCCGGACCCCGCATTCACTATATCCGCTCTCCCCGGACCCCGCATTCACTGTATCCGCTCTCCCCGGACCCCGCATTCACTGTATCCGCTCTCCCCGAACCCCGCATTCACTATATCCGGTCTCCCCAGACCCCGCATTCACTATATCCGCTCTCCCCGAACCCCGCATTCACTATATCCGCTCTCCCCGAACCCTGCATTCACTATATCCGCTCTCCCCGGACCTCGCATTCACTGTATCCGCTCTCCCCGAATTCACTATATCCGCTCTCCCCGAACCCCGCATTCACTATATCCGCTCTCCCCGGACCCTGCATTCACTATATCCGCTCTCCCCGGACCTCGCATTCACTGTATCCGCTCTCACCCCGAATTCACTATATCCGCTCTCCCCGGACCCCTGCATTCACTATATCCGCTCTCCCCGGACCCTGCATTCACTATATCCGCTCTCCTGGACCCCGCATTCACTATATTTGGTTCCCACAGTACAGACAACATGGAAATGCAATTGTTTCAGTAAATCTAAACGGCTAAATCCCTTTTCTCATAAGCAGTACATAGCAGTCTTGTGACTTTGTCTAGCCGAGCACTGGTTAAAGCTTGTAGGAAGATGCAGAACCCTTGACCTCTGTCTGGACAGTGCTGATTGGGCCTGTGCTGATCACATGCACTCTCCCAAGAAAGAAAAAAACCTCTCTAGCAATGCACACCAAACTGAGCATGTGCAGTGTGTCTCCAATATATCTTATCAGGAGATAAGAGGGGGGCACTAGAAGAAGGGGAGGATCAGAGAAGACAGGATCAAACAGCCTTTTTACACAATGCAGAGGATTAACCCCTTAGGTTCCACAGTGAGTATAACAAGCACGCTTTGCTGCATATACAGACGGATTGTACTGTTGTGGGTTTAGTAACACTTTAAGTGGTTGACATCAAAGAGTAGTTCGGTGCTGCATTACCTCTCAATGTGAAGTTTAGTGATTTTATCCTTTTTTTTTTATTATCAGCACCAGGGACAGAGTGTACTGGAATGACAAGTGCCCCCAGTGCTGGTATCTGCTCTGCTCCTTGGAATCTGCTCATTCATGTAAGTGCCATCCCTGGTGCTGATTAACCTCTTGCTGACCATGTAACACATATGTGCGGTGGCAAAGCGGGGACGCTGTAACGGCCTCCATGGACAGCGGAGCTTTCTGTGCTGAGATTGCGCTCGCTACACGCTCCCGGCAAAGTGACCGGCTTGTCAGACAGCTCTCCATCACTACTAATGATCAGGGACTGGCGGGACCGGCTCGTGATCGCTGTGAAGGACTGGCCGGTCCTTACTGCCCTAGGCATGGGAGACCCTGTTAACCCTTTCGCTGCCATGTCCGTACATTGACCTGGGGGGGGGGGGGGGGGGGTTATACAAAATCTGGTGCAGCCACCAGGATTGTGTGTAAAGCTGACAAGCACAGACTCCTGGTGGGAGCAGTGGGGCGGCGTGCTGCCTGATTGCTTCCACATGCCCCTGATACCGGTGCCCCCCCCCCCCCCCCCAGCCATGTACTCTGTGCTCTGCTTGCCCATCTGCAGGTCCAGGGCCAACATGGCGATTACCAGCGGGTGGAGCGGAGGAAGGGGGGCAGCAGACACACGTCCGCTCTCCTCCTGCGTCACCTTTCCCCGGCTAGCACAGCCTTGAAGTAATGTATTGCAATGCGATCTGCATTGCAATACATTGAGTGGAATCCGGGGGAGACGTTTGGGGTCTTTTGGACCCCGCTTGTCTCATTGAATAGAACCTGTCACCAAAAAAAAAAATCATGACATAAGGGATTGCCACGTGACAATCATGGCAAAACAGCACCGTGTTTTACGTGCCATTGAAAATAATGGCGCCTGAACCTGTGTTCTGCGATCGCAGCAATTCTGCTGCGATCCCAAAAAGTCCAGGTGTGAATGGAGCCGCCCCGGTTCACACGTGACATTCTGCATTCATTTAGAAAGTCACAGATTCGCATGACAGGCTAGATCGTTTGTGTTCCCATTGAGGTGGTTCACACAGATGACATCCACACGCAGAAAAAATAAGAAACAACTCAAAGCGCTGCCCTGTGCAGTAATGATTAGCCAATGTCCGTGTGAACATCGAGCAAATAAAAGTCAGAAAATTGCGCAGTCTATAGCGCCGTGGTGCTTTCTTCCTCCAAATCATAAGTGCCACCATGACTGTGCGCTGCCCCCCCCCCCCCCCTTTGTTCCCACTCTCACCGACACTTGTGGACTCTTACAGAAATTGTATAGGGTCTCAAGTGCTGGTGTCACTCGGTCAGTTCTGCTCCACTGCGTTTCCTGGGGTCAGAAGGCTGGCATTCTCTCGCATAAAAAAGGAATGGCAAAAGGGGGCCACAGAGTGCAATTCCATTTTATTAAAAACTCTTAAAATTTGTTGCAGTTACATAGGTACAATAAACAAAAGCATTCAAACCACCGATCCGGACGCCAGTTCCAGAAATGGTAATGGAAAATCACGTCTGATCTCCATCTAACGCGTTTCGCCCCTCCCACATTGCGTCTTCAGAGGCCCTGTTTTGAGTGCCATTGTGAAAAGGGTCTTGTGCGAGTTTGTAACGGTGCGGTCCAGACTTTCATATAATAGAGTAGATTGGCATGCGGAGATAAGTGTACATATAGGATTGGTATTGACAGGAGTTTTTGCATTGAAGTCTATGAAAGGCGTTTTCCCAGTGAAGTCTGTAGAAGGCGTTTTCTCATTGAAGTCTATGGGAGGCATTATCCTATTGAGGTTTATGGGGCATGACTTCCCATTGAGACTTCCCAATGGGGTGCACTACCCACTGAAGTCTAAGGAGCGTAACCTCATATTGAAGTCTATGGGGCGCAACCTCTAATTGAAGTCTATGGGGCACAATTTCCAATTGAAGTCTATGGGGCGTGGCTTCTTATTGAAGTCTATAGGGCATGACTTCCCATTATGGAATGTGACTTCCCATTTAAATCTATAGGGCGTGGCTTCTCATTGAAGTATATGTGGCACGACTTCCCATTGAAGTCTATGGAATGCAACTTCCCGTAGAAGTCTAAGGAATGCGACTTCCTACTGAAGTCCATGGGGCGCGTCTTCCCATTGTAGTCCATGGGGCACGTCTTCCCATTGTAGTCCATGGGGCGCGTCTTCCCATTGAAGTCCATGGGGCGCGTCTTCCCATTGAAGTCCATGGGGCGCGTCTTCCCATTGAAGTCCATGGGGCGCGTCTTCCCATTGAAGTCCATGGGGCGCGTCTTCCCACTGAAGTCCATGGGGCGCGTCTTCCCACTGAAGTCCATGGGGCGCGTCTTCCCACTGAAGTCCATGGGGCGCGTCTTCCCACTGAAGTCCATGGGGCGCGTCTTCCCACTGAAGTCCATGGGGCGCGTCTTCCCACTGAAGTCCATGGGGCGCGTCTTCCCACTGAAGTCCATGGGGCGCGTCTTCCCACTGAAGTCCATGGGGCGCGTCTTCCCACTGAAGTCCATGGGGTGCAACTTGGTGACTTCCCATTGAAGTCTATGGGGCGCGACTTCCCATTGAAGTCTATGGGGCGCGACTTCCCATTGAAGTCTATGGGGCGCGACTTCCCATTGAAGTCGGGGGCGCGACTTCCCATTGAAGTCACTGAGGTTTGAAGTTATCTCTATCTCATCACAACTATCAATGCTTAGATTGGAGAGACAGAACAGTGCCAGTGCCCCATTATTTTATTTTTATGTTCTATTTTTTTTTTATTTATTACAGGTACCAT